CCAAGCTTAAATGACAGCCGATGTAATGCCACTGGAGTCATACCAAATGCAGCTACCTCCCACCCCACCCACTGGACGCCTATCGTCAGCAGCTTTTATAAGGCCACACTGTTTAGTTTCGTTGGCGGGTTAAACATTCGCACTTCTAGACAAATAGGTTAACAGGATGCAGTCGCACGCCCGTTGGACACTGAGTATTGATTTGTTTTGTTTGTCCGAAACTAGGATCAATGATCCTCAAGGGGTTGTTGAGTTAACTGCGCTCGATTTGTCCTATCGCTATTGGTTACACACATTCGGAGACGCTGATGCGGCAATCTCTGGTCGAGCTGGAGTGGGCAATATGCTCAAATCCAACGCTGTCATCGTTGTTTGATTGGATTCACTCGAGCAGCCGTTTGTGTGCAGTCGGTTAGACGACTTCAACTAAGGTTGATTTAAGAAGTAGCGCTAAACGCTGTTTGTTTGTGGTTTGTGCCAATGACCCCATCGAGTACAGTTCTGCTGTTGTCAAGGACATTGTACCACCAAGTGAACACGCTGCTTCGCAGTGTTCCCGACTCACATCACGCTGTTGTTGCAATTAAGGCGTGTGAGGTCTTCAGAAGCTCAGCCAGGTCAGCTCACGCGTTGCAAAAGCTAGAGCTACCTTCTTGAACCTGCGGCATCTTTGGCGACAGAAGGGAGTTTCCCTCCGTCTGAAAGGCCGTGTCTACAATGCCACAGTTAGGGCCGTTCTGCTCTATAGCAGTGAGACGGCCCCTTCGGTCTGAAGATCGGAGGCGCCTTCAAGTCTTTGACCATCGTTGTCTGCGAAGCATTGCTGGTGTCGGATGGCACCAGCGTGTCCGCAACGATGATGTGCTTAGGCGAGTACTAGGTAGTGAAAAACATGCTAGCTCCCTAGAACAACAGATAGCATTGAATAGGTTGCGGTGGCTTGGGCACGTGCTACGTATGCCTGGTCACTGCTTAAATGGGAGGGTCTTGTTTAGTCTGCCAGGTGTAGGGCGGTGCAAGGCTCGAGGTGGACAGAAGTTGACTTGGCAGCGGGAAATGAAGTCACTGACGACCAAACTGGGTGCCATTGGTCCGTCTCGCCTTCCGGACTGGAGTCCACGTGACTCGCCTTTTGCTTGGCTCGAGACTTTGCAGGACATGGCTCACAACCGACACCAGTGGCGCGTCTGCTGCCGTCTCCTAATTGGATTGCCTGTTTAAAGTGTGTTTGGTGCTGTGTTCTCCTCGGGGTAATGGCTGATTATGACGCGTGGCAGTGAAAGCCGCAAGGAATCTGTCTCACCAATGCCGCCTTACCTTCGCACGAGAGCCAGCTGTTTGTGACAGTATGTTGTCTACACAAGGTGCAGGCGCCTTGACCCTGAATGTTTGCTTAGGGGATTGAGGTTTTCGACTAAGTCCCCTACTCTCCCTCTTATTATTCTCTATTCCATAGGTCATCATGGTTGTATGGCAGCGAAGGATCAGTTCAAGTGACTGATGTACTGCTGTTGTTGGTTGAATATCCGTGATTCTTTGAAGCATTATCAAATAGGTTGTTAACATACCGGTTTCTCCCACAACCTGAATGATCCGATCCTTAGTTAATCACCCGCACTGCTCTGTTATTCAGGTTTGTCTCTCAGTTCTATTCCTTTGGGTCACACAGATTTACGTCCACGGAGTACACTTGTAGATAATTTAGACGGAGCACCGAGTTCCGGTATGCGAGGAGAGGTTTTGTACCTTGCTCTTTCCCTTCGTCAACAGAGGCATTGTCTCAGAATGACCACATGGCAACCAGCTTCATATTAAAAGGCAACGTGCTTGACTGCAGGTCATTTTGGTCCATCTCCGTAGATATAGCTCACGGTCTGGTCTGTGCGCACATCTGCGTGTGTTCTTGGTGATTCTTGTACAAGGAGTACCGTAATATTGGTACTAACAGATTATCTGGTCCTTCGCTCGGACAGAACTCCCGGAGTATACTGCCAGACGCATTCGCTTGCATTCCATGACAAGAGTGAAAGCGACACTCCACTTCTACACAGCAGGTACTGATCTCGTCCGGCAATGAAACAGTAGTCTCGCTCGGTGACATTTGGAGGTTGGGATCTCTGCTCGCTCTTTGTAGCTGCTTGACTGCCGGAGAAATATCCCGGTAGGGTAAGATCGCAAGGGAAGGCCCCAGTCTATCAATCTACAGCTCATTCAGTGCGCGCGCACTGATTGCAAATCTTGGTGTTTTCATCGTGCCTCAGTAATGGAGACCGTTGCCTTCTCTGGTAATGCTTGTAAACTCTTCAACCAACCGTTCTCTGGACGCTGAGTCAGTGAGGTCGGTTGCATGGAAGGTGAGTCTCCTATCACTTAGCTCCGGAAACGCTTGTAACGCTTGGCCGAACACTGGGCATTGAAAGCCGCGAGGAAACTGTCTCGCCCATCCCGTCTTATTTTTAACCGATCACCAGCAGTTTGTGACGGTACGTCGTTGACAATGTCTTGACCCTGAGTGTTCGCTTAAGGCATTTAGGTTTTATTCTAGGTCCCGCTTCTTCTCCAATCATTATTCTTCGTTCCTTAGGTCGCTGTGATGCTACCACAAGAAGCATCGGTTCAAATGGCTGCTTTAATGCTGCTGATGACTGGAGCAGGGTGACAGCTTGCATAAAAATCTCGGAAAATTATAGCTGATGTCACCGACGGTTAACATGAACGGTGAGCACAAAGGTGAGAACATCAAGCTACACACGTGCTTTTGATAAATTAATAGACCCTAGCCAAAGCGGCGCACTGTACGGACGTTCGGTCAAATCTGGGTTCCAGGTATTCACTTCCACCCCAGTCAAACTAGCCACAACAGCCTTCTGTATGATTGCTTTCGTCAACCTGATCATTCCTCCCATTACGGCCTGATGTCCGCAGGGCCTCTAAATCGGTCATCTCTTATTTCACTAAGACGTCTACCTTACCGTATCTACTGTAGCAATATCATTTTCCCATAATAGTTAGACATTGGCTTTGGTTAAACTATGCCAAAGGTCACATTTGCTGTCATTCGCTGCTTTTTGCGATAACCTCAAGATGCCGTGTAGTGTACGCTTTCGACGCAATCCTGTCACAACCTAATGCGTAAATAATTACGCAATACTGTTGCATGCTGATAGCGAACCGTGCATTCAAATTACATATGCACACGGTGTTTCTTTTCCTCTTCATACAATAGACAATTCTAATGTTGTCATTTAGACTCATCTGGGCATATAAAGCTTATTTTGACTTGACTTGAATTCTGTTAGCGCGAAGACGAAATGAAGACGCTGCCAACGAAATCCAATGAAGTCGATTAACTGTAGCATCCGACCGTGTCTACCTCCAGAACGAGCTTGTTCGGATTAACGAATGCGAAGAAAGGAATCAGCTCCCACTGAACCCTACAAACTGCCACCTGCTGACGGTGCGTAACAGCTTCAGCAACAGATCTTCTGGGACAGCACGTTTTGCAATAGGTGACTAGTGAATGAGACTTAGGTATCATCGAACAAGAAAGACAGCAATTCGCTCCAATACTCCAAAACAGCAAATATGGCTAACTTGAAATTGAGACTTTTGAGGCGAGCTCTCACACCTTTGAGTGACGGCTAGTACCACAGTTGATCAACACATACCTTCGTGCCCATGTTGAATATGCGGTTCAGACCTGGCGTCCATGGTTAAAACTAAATATTCGTCTTTTGGAGCAATCTCAAAGAAGGGCTAGTAAGGCGACACGTGGACTATCCAGTCTCAGTTACGAACTGCGCCTTCGTTTGCTTGGTGTCTTCTCAGAATACCGACGGCTTCGCGGGGATCTCGTCCTCACATACCGGATACTAACTGAAAGCGAGCATCTACGCGCGTCACGGATGACCTTAGCCCCTTACAAATAATGTCGAGACCTTCACCTTAAATCAGTAGCGCAACAATCCCGTTTGAATTGTAGGAAGTTTTTTTTACTCTTTTGGAATCTGTTCCCACTGAAACGCACTACCAACACATGTGGTGAACGCACAAGACACCGCGACATTCGTGAGACAGCTAGACTTTCATCTTAGTGATAAGCGCTACATAACAGTGAGATAAAGTGCAATGTCTTTACCACTGAGGATTCACGTTCCATGTTGGAACTTTGTTGATTTTTATTTCCTTGTGCATTTTCCATTCTGTTGGTCTTGTAAAGTTTTGCTTTTTATCCCATCATACACTATTGAACTATTAGACCGAAATGACGACCTTCGATGGCCAATGTGTTTCGCCATCCTGACTACTAAGTCAGACCCCTCCATTTGTATCAAGTAACGTTTCTGCTTGTGGAAGCATCGACAGGGGAATGGGTTCGCAAGAGAAGGTAGAAAATGTTGGCAGATGGGAAAATTTAAGTACTGACAGATCAGTAGTAAAGCACATGACTCAAGAGCCATGAGGATTCACATGGTCTGTGACGCGCTTGGTTCTTTGGCCCTCTCATTCCACCGCCAAGCTACTGTGCTGGCCAAAGTGTACTTACTGGCAGCTCAGGCGCTCGTGGAGCAAATCTTGTAGGAGCGAATGTATTCTATCTCATAGTCGCTGGATCGTGCTGTTCGTAGGCTCGTAAACGGTTAGGAGTCACTAACCGAGTATCGCCTTGTGTATACGCAATATTAACTGATTTTTGGGAGCGTGGTACATTGAGGCGCTTGGGTGCCTCTTTGCTAAAGAGAAAGAAAGTAACCGAGATCCTCTACAAGGCATGCAGACAGCAAGCATCTGATTTAGGCGGTGTGGTGTAGTACGTGAGCAATAGCCTGGACATTATAAGCATTTTATCATAGCTGGACAAGCGGTGGCAGACAATCGGCTGAAATATTTGTGACCAACAAAATTAGTTAGCTAAGAAAAGCTACTCAACGGAACGCTTAACGAAAATAAGAGATGAATCGAATGTGAGAAATGCCATAACTAAAGCGGCGCCCACTCACCTCGTAAGATGACAGATGTCGTGGGTCCGACAGATGCTGTTGCGTTGAATCATTCGACTCTCGATTCAGTGGAAAATCGAATGATTCTGCTACACGCTTCTTTTCTTCAGCCGAAACTGCAAGTTGGCTAAAAAGTTTGGAATCCAACATCCTTAGGCCAATGCGGTAAGTAGGCAATTCCGTTAAATCAACTGGTGGAATGCTGTTCCAGTCAGCAAAGGTACGGAGCTTAGTACAAATTTCTTCGTGTTCGTGGTCAAACTGACCACCCTCTTGCCTCAGCGATAACAAGTACAGAACTTCCATGTCACGTATGTGCAGAAGACGCAATAACCGTTGTACAAGAGTGGCCGATAATCCAAAGTAGTCGTACTGTTCGCAATCCGTTGAAAGGTCTGAGCTTACGTTTGCAGCCAATAAATGGCAATAGGGACCACCGGGATGAAGTGGTATGCGGAGGGGCATCAATTCATGTACAAACTTGTAGCTCAGTGTGCTTTGACACAAAAGTTGATTGATCTGACCTATTTGGGCTTGTAGTTCGCTCGGCGATCTGTGACTTGCCTGCTCCAGCTTCATTTGTCGGTGTAGCAGAACAAGTTGTGCCCTAAGCGCACACATTTGTTGCCAGAGCTGTAGTTCTCTCCACTGAACGTGGCACTCCAAACAATCGCTAACATCTGAAATGCTTATGGGTCGAATGAGGTCCTCGGGTAGAGTGAGTAACAAATGTCGCAACGCCCTCAAGCCAGTACGAAGTGACAGTGGAAACAGACTTATTCCGATCGGTCGCAACATGAATGCGGGGAAATAAGCCTCCAGAGCTCGAACAAACTGAAGCAGAGACGATCGATAGACGGTAGGATGGTGAGATAAAGTGGCTTCTGATGCTCTTCTAAGAAGCTTCTTGTCCCGCCCATTCCAAATTGCCTCGATATCATCAGCAGTTGGACGGGGATCCTCAACAAACGGAGGCGAACAACTGTGCCTCCTTAGTGCAGGTAACGAGTGCGAACGGTGTGGCAATTGTTTTTTGTACGCCCTTCGGTGTATGCTCGGCCAACTTTTTGCGTTCCATCCCTGGAGATTCAAAGCTGAGGCCAACAAGTTCGTAGTGCTCATTCGTCTCTCTTGTGGCACAGTGCACAGCTGGGAGGTCGATGAAGGGTTATCAAGCACCTGATGTGTGTTACAGGTTAGTATCGGCCAACGGACGTCTAGTGTGGGTAGGGACACGTTCAGAGGAGAATGCACTGTGTCATCCGTGGAGGGGACATTTGCACAGGATAGGTGAGATTCTTCACAGGACGTATCCAAGACTGTAGTCCCGCGCTTCAAACGACTCACACTCTCGTGTTCAAGCCCACGTTCAAAAGAGATAAGTGTCCTTTTCAGTTGAGTCCACTCCTTATGAAGCGCGTCGACAGCAACCGTCAACTCGAGATAAGAAGTAGTTTGCTGGTTATTTGAGCACAAACTGGTCACCGTTTTCGAACCTGTAGTTTGTGCATCATGAATTGCATCGCCCATCCCGGTTCGGAGTTTCGATGCATCAACACGGTCGAGTACAGTCGAAAGGGCCTCGACAGCAGATTGAACACTTTGTGTGTGGTCCGCAAGGTCACGGATCACTGTCCCAGGAACAGAGAACACCATCTCCTTGGATCGAAGCGCAGCAGACAACTCGTGATCCTCATCAGTAAGGCTAGAAATCCTAAGCGCAAGGTTAGAGACATTCTGATGAAGCTGGCTTAACCGTGGAATAAAGTCTTCGGACTTAAGTCCACCTTTGCGTATTAACTCGGTCAATCGCTCGAGGCTCTGTGGTGAGAGTGCATTTGAGGAAAAATGAGGATCATGTAGGATGATTTTGGGATCTGACATACAACATAGCTGATCTAAGCAATTTATCAGACCAGTGTAGGCAGCGGTACGGAACTCGTCCGTATTCCTAACCTCATCAAATATTTGCTTCTGCAGTTGAATGGCGGAAAACAATGCACTTAGGTGCGTTTTAAGATCAGTGGAGTTTATAGGCTGGAGTGGTATCGTAGGTTGATCAAAAAGGACAGCGAGTCGTGCACAGAAATCCAAAAGCAAAATGTTTTCCGGCACCTTATTCGAGGTGCACAGTCCATTAGAATGAGCAGACGCCGGGTGCGTTGACTCCTGGTTCCCATTGTTTGCTAAGGTACACAATGATTCCATTTTTCCCAAAATCCCATTGAGAAATTGAATGAGTTCTCTCGTGACTCCGACTTGTTCTAGCAGTTTGCCAGTAGCGGTGGTAGGTGCGTAGTCTATAAGTACATTGCACGCGTAGACGAACGCTGATAAGGTCTCCAATTTGGACTCAGAACTTACTGATTCATCGGTGTGATTGCAAGTAGCTGATGGGTCGGGAGAATATCCAAACTTACCGAGAGACGTTGCTATTTCATCTGGTTTATAAGCCACTGGATGTGGATTACTGGTCGATGTTTGTATTTCCCTTTTCGTGAAACAAACTTCTTGTTGCAATAAAGAAACTTGCTTGCTCAGTTCACAAAGATACGTCGGGGAAATGCTTATTCTGTCTAACTTGGTATCTGCATTAGGTACAAATTCATTCAGGTTGAGAATAGTGTGAAGCTTACGGATGTATTCAACCACAATGGAAGGGATGAGTAAACTCTCACTCCTTGTGTTGGAAGGATCATGTAACCGAATTACCGAACAAAGTTCATCACGAACGGAAGAAAGAGAGGCCTCTACATACTTGCGCATCGAATTCAACTCCATCTTTAAACTGTGAATGCAGTTCTTTAGATAGTTGAATTCTGAACTGAGACTGACTTCCAGACTTGTTCGGTAAGAGGAGGCCAAACTAGCTGCATCTTCATCTGGCAACTGTTGGAGAACTGAAGAGGAAGCTATGGCCGGAACTGCTCCCACCCCAGCCAGACACTCAGCATCAACTAATTCTAAATGTCTCGCTGCAACAGGCGCTATTGTCACGGGTGAGTCTTCGGCTAGAGCCGGAAAATGGGCAAGAACAGGATCATTTGTCTGATTAACTAAAGAGTTAACCAAGCTATTTTGTATTTCATGAAGACCTTGACGAAGTTGAAGCAAACTGTCGGTGGTTACCGTGTCAGAAGAAATAAGTGGTATTAACTGATCCGTCAAATCGATCAAACAACGCCAATGCTTTCGATAACGTCCAATTTCGACATGCTGGTCATTTAAAGTGGCCTGCGCACGCTGGAGTTCGTTGATGGATGTTGCGTGCGCCTCCTGAAGGTCCAAAAGGCGCAAACGCAGTGAGTTACATTCGTTGTCTAGAAGAGCAGACTGATAAAGGTGCCCTGAGAATTCCTTGAAGGCGGAAGAAAGTGAGTGCTCAAAATCGTCCGGTTGTAAATCCCCTTCAAAGGTACACTGCGACTTGGAACCACAGAGATCGTTGACCGTGTCCAAGATGCGATGAGCGCATGCGATCCAACTGGAATTGACAGATTTCATGCGCTCGACTTCCTCAGAATGGTTATGATTGCAAGAAAGCTCAAGATTTAATTGCTCATCTAAAACAGCCGCCTCCCTCTCAAGGTCTTTGGAGGCACGACATAAAGAACTAGCAGACCAGCAAACCTCAGGGCCAAGAGGAACACTTGAGGAAGGAGGGATATCCACAGACAACCGATCAGAAAGGCGAAAAGAAATTGGCGTAACCTGTTCAACTAAGTTTGCCAACCTCAAAGCAGCAACAACAAGAGTAGAACAGACCCTCGAAAGACGAGTGACATCCGCAAAAATATCAAAAACAACAGGAAAAACAAGTCCAACGTCCGATGCAGGGACAGGAGAAGGCAAACAAGAATGGGATCGAAAGAAACAACACTCAGAAGACCGCAAAAGTGGGGAAAACACACCACGGTAGCCATCATTACTAGGATGGTCCAAGGGTAAAAGGCAGTCCAAAATAGAAGAAGATAAACACGGACAAAACATCGACAAAAGAGAAGAAAATTCGGCAAAATGAGTGGAGGCGTCAAAAAGCTCAGAAAGTAGTGCCTCTTTCTCGGAAGACAATTCACGAACACGCCGCTGAACAACACACAACTCCGCACTCAACTCGCTCACACGATCAGTCGCCGCAGTCAACGCACACGACTTCTCCACACACATCGCCTCACTCGACGCAACAGCCTCACACACTCGCGCGTATTCCGACCGAAGAGCACACAACTCCTCGCGCAACGCGCCTTCCGATGCACACACCGGTGCACAAGCCACACGCAACTCCTCCCGCAAGTCGCACACCAACGACTCCATCTCAATCAACCTAGATGCGCTCTCACTATACAACTTCTGCGATGTCTCCACCAACGAATCCACAGTACACACACATTGACCCAACTCCGACGCTCCGGACGACTGCCAACGCTTGCACTCCAAACCAAGGGTACGCAACTCAGCACCAACACCACACAACACATCCCGCACATGACGCAACTCGCCAGCCATGCAAACCAATACTTTCTGCTGATCCGCCACTCGAACACTCAGAGCCTCACGAGCCAACTCCGAGCACTTCAAACGATCCATCACCTCCAACAAATCGCAAGCCTGACGAGAAGCGGCCGCACGCGCCTCTGCACACGCCATTTCCGATTCGGTTAGCGCGTCGCGCAACTCTTCACCATGCCTCGTATTCACCGACAACTGCAACTCAACATCAGTCAAATTGCAAAGCGCATCACGCAACGTCGACTCCAAAGACGCACGCTCTGATAACCCATGCACATAACTCGCACGGAGCTCCGACAACTGACCCACCAACTCACCCAACAACTTCTTCGCATCCACCAAATCCACCACCGTCTTGTCCAACAATCGGCCACGATCAGCCACCTGCGACCGCGACAACAACTCGGACTGCAACTCACACTTCTCACACTCCAACTGCTCTATCTTCTCCAACGCTGCGGACAAACGAGTCTCCACTGCACTCAACTCTCTCGCTTCAACTCCACACAAACTAGTACCATCCAACACCGCTTCTGACGTACACACTACACCACTATACGTCACACTCGCATCCACCACTATCGGTCCCGACGATGTAGCCGACCCCATCACACCACCAGCCGACGACACCGTCACTGGAATCCAACAACCAACATCCACACTCTGCACACCTACATCATGACCACCAGCCATCACATCATCCGGTCTGTGCTCCATCTCAACAACACCGTCCCACGACCACAAATCACCCGACATGCCAGATCCATCTATCTCCACCACATCCTCCGCACGCGTTCCAACCATCGGCGAAGGCAACGACAACAACCTGTCACCAGCAGCCAATTCGTCCACAACCAACAGTGACTCGCTCACCTCTCTCTCATGCAAGGCATCCACAGCGAAACCAACACGAGCACTGGCATCTTCTGCAACACTCAATGCAGACGCCTTATCCTCAATAGCAAGTGCCGGTCCATCCATCGTCACACTACGCAAGCCTGTAAACAACTCAATCTCAGATATCATACCACCAGTCTCCGAGCCACGCGCGCGCTCACACGCCTCTCTCAGGTGAAGATGCTCCAATCGAAGACTAGTCAACTCAGCCTGCAACCGACATATCACATCTGCCTCCGTTTGCACACCCTTGCACACAATACCAGTCGCGGCATCCTCAGTCGCCCCGCTTTCCAACATCACCTCATATCGCCCACTCACACCTCCACCCAATGTCTCACTCTCATCAAGCAACAACAGTCTGCGCGATGCATCTTCCAACTCCGAACACTTCGCCTCCAGGTCACATTTCACACGCTCCAATTCAGACTCCAGCGCCGCACGCAACTCATCCCCTCGACTTTGGGCCTGTCGCAACAGCATCAACTCACTGTCCTTCTCCGACAACAAGTAACGACTATCACGTAGCGCCGCATCCCGAGCATCCACAAGCTGCGACAACACACTTATACGCTCATCTCGAGAAACCAGCTCAGCGCGCCACCCGTCTCCATCCACCGTCAACTCATCGGAAACACCATCCACACCAATGCCACCACAAACGTCCACACTAGACACACGCAGTTCTTGCCCAAATTGTACCGGACACGGTGGCGGCGGAGGCGGAAGTTCACCTCCAACTCCAATACCCAACACATCCAAACGGCCAGAAGACACAACTGACGCAGCCACATCCATCTCCACCGACAAAGCCGACTTCGGTTCACACACGTCCGCCATGTCAGGCCCCACACCCGCGTCACGCGCTACAACACCAATAACCGTCCCATAGCTAATACTACCATCCAACACGCTGTCCTCATCCGTTTGACTGCTCACGTGTTCCACATACTTTGAGAACAGGGCCGACTCATGCACATCAACCACCGACACGTCCGCTCTCGCATCCACATCCGAACAAACACCACCAGGTAATCCTACCAATGTCGATGATGAGCACGGGGCCGACTCGCACACCACACTCCTCGCAACACACACCTCAGTAGATACATCCACACGTTCCAACGACGTCACGTCCACCCGCCCACTGGACCAAATCAATCCAACCTCACTCTGTGCACCATCACGAACACCAACATCAATACGAGACCGCAATTCCTCACACTCCGCACGAGCAACCGCAATCTCCACGCGTAAACTCTCATTCTCCGAACGCACTTCGCACACATGCTGCCGAACAACACTCAACTCCGCACTCAACTCGCTCACACGATCAGTCGCCGCAGTCAACGCACACGACTTCTCCACACACATCGCCTCACTCGACGCAACAGCCTCACACACTCGCGCGTATTCCGACCGAAGAGCACACAACTCCTCGCGCAACGCGCCTTCCGATGCACACACCGGTGCACAAGCCACACGCAACTCCTCCCGCAAGTCGCACACCAACGACTCCATCTCAATCAACCTAGATGCGCTCTCACTATACAACTTCTGCGATGTCTCCACCAACGAATCCACAGTACACACACATTGACCCAACTCCGACGCTCCGGACGACTGCCAACGCTTGCACTCCAAACCAAGGGTACGCAACTCAGCACCAACACCACACAACACATCCCGCACATGACGCAACTCGCCAGCCATGCAAACCAATACTTTCTGCTGATCCGCCACTCGAACACTCAGAGCCTCACGAGCCAACTCCGAGCACTTCAAACGATCCATCACCTCCAACAAATCGCAAGCCTGACGAGAAGCGGCCGCACGCGCCTCTGCACACGCCATTTCCGATTCGGTTAGCGCGTCGCGCAACTCTTCACCATGCCTCGTATTCACCGACAACTGCAACTCAACATCAGTCAAATTGCAAAGCGCATCACGCAACGTCGACTCCAAAGACGCACGCTCTGATAACCCATGCACATAACTCGCACGGAGCTCAGCCATCTGGCCCACCAACTTACCCAGTATCTGCTTTAAACCCGCTAAATTTATCCGTATCCTTTCTGCTGTGCTTTGTAGCTCTTGTTCTTCCGCGTTAACCTTTGCTACCTTGTTGTTGCTCCTTTCCTTTTTTGTTTCACTCTTATGTTCTGTCTTCGCTATTTTGCTGTATATATTTTTTTGCTTTCTCTGGGTGCTGAATTTTCCGCTCCGTTCGTTTTCGTACGCGTCATCTCTTTCTTTCTGTATTATTTCATCAGGTTTGCCTTCTGCTCCATTTTCTACTTCCTCACTTATGGCTTTATCCCTGTTCTTTCGTTCGACGTTAGCTGGGTTTCGACCTCCTTTCACTTCCGATCCTCCCTTTGCTTTTTCCTGCTGCTCATGCGTTTCTTTTTCGCTTAGCTTGCTGCTATTGCCTGGTTTATTTTTCTGTCCTTGCTCGTACTCTGCTCGCGCCCAGCCTTCAGTTCTCATTGTCTTGGACTTAAAGACAAGATGGTCTTGTTTAACTGGGTTTTCCATTTTGGTGGTCGCTGGAATTTGCAGTTTTGGCAGTGTATCCTCGTCATTCAGACCGTAAAGCGCTGAATCTGCCCTGAACGGGCGAATGGGTTCACAGGACTGAGCCTGCCGCGCTTCTGTCTTAGTTGACGCATCTCTTAGTAGTGCATTCATTGCGTGATTTCTTTCCAGTTCATCTCTTGCGAGTGCAAGCAACCCAGTTAGACGCATACGCTCCGCTTTACTGTCTTCCAGTTCATTCAGGATTGTTCTTACTTCCTCTACAATGCTGCTCAGCATGTCTGGATTATCGCTGCTGCTGCGAATTCTTTTTAAGGTAGATGAAGTTTCGATTAGATTGAAAAGCGAAACTAGCACTGTTTCATACTTGTCCACGTCGATTTGATTTGGGTTCATCATTTTGCCATAGACATGTCCAACAGGCTGTGTGTGCCGGGTAATGAATTTGGATAGAAAAGTAGCGATACGTGACAACCGATTCTCTAGTATGCTCAAGTGATGTTCTAAGTTCGTGGTAATATTCTTACTCCAACTATCCATCTGTACAACAAAACGGTTCTGCAATACTTCAGCTGAGCCGGATGAACCTGTCCAATCCGGTGAGGTAAAGAATCGCAGCTCCTTATGACTTTCCATACTGGATATTGGTAGACATGCTGTTTCCTTAACAGCAGTGAAGCACGTGTTTGAACTGAATTCATGTTCGCTCTGTGTATCCGTCATTTCGCTATGTACCGGAATCGAAGGTGACTCGGCATTCTCCGATAGATGCGGCAGTGAAGCGGTTGGAAATGCTGATGGCACAGACTGGCATGTCATCACAACGGCTTCGCCCACCGGAGCAGGACTGCTCTCATCCAAATGATCAGGTTCCGGTAACAAAGTAGATCCGGAAGTGTGGTAGACAGATGAGGAGAGAATGGAGATTAAGAACTGAATTTGTGACCGCAAATCAATTTGCCATTGTTGCGCAGTGGATCTCCCGTGTTCAGCAGTGTTAAGTCGCTTGTGTAGTGAGCGCAGCTCACGGTCGCAGATGGCTAACTTTTTGCATACTATCTCATATTGTTTTGCCAAGTCACCGGGAGAAATCTCATTCACCAGCTGTAGAGTTGAAACGCCTGTATTCTCGTTGTGTTCTTCTGAGTTTAAGTTTTCTTGCTTTGAACTTATACCGCTCAGTTCATTTCGCAACGACTTTGGCAAAGCTGTTGCTCCAATTGAAGACATAGCATTCACTAGGAATTGATTTCCTGACACAGAGTCCTGAAAACTTGTGCCGCTGCCTTCGTTTTCGCCAATTTTCAAGTGTTGCCGGGTGTGGTCAACAGTTTCCTGCCAATTAAAAGTGGGCGCCAGCTTACTAGCTAACATGTCGACATCGCATTTCAGAGAAGCGTTTTCTACTTGGAGTAGTTGTATTTCATCCATTTTATCCGAGATCATGTTTAGACTAGAATCTAGCTCTGCTCTTTGAGCACGCAGCTCCCGCAAAGCATCCTCCAACTCATTCTGTTTCTCCGTGAGCTGTTTCTCTAGATCCGCGACAGTTAGCTGCAACTCACAAACGCTTACGTCGAAGGTGCGCTGAGGATCAAACCCCTCGGTCTGCTGATCTGATTTTGTCAACTCATTCCACGATTCAGACCGCTTGTGGTTTGAGAAATGAACGCGGTTTTCAATAACCCACTCTTGACACTCTATGTTTCGCTCAGACTTCTCTTCGACCACAGATGGGAGACTGCACAAATCCTCATTTGTAATGTTCAAAGGAAGCGCATTTTCTGCATCGGATTTGGTAACAGCTACAACGCTTGGAGTAGTGATAGGATCAGCAGAGACGGAGGTTAATTTGGAGACATAACTTTCGATAAGGGGCAGTAATTCTCTGACATCAAGGTCCAAACATGAGTCCGCAAGGGTTGCCGAAATAGACCGACAATGAGTAAGCAAAGCAGAACGCAAAAGCGGGGAAAAAGAAAAATCGAACTCATGGTGATCTGAAGAAAGGATATTTAAAATATCCGTGAAAATACGAACAAAGATGTCTGAAATGTTCCGCAGAGAGAGAGATTCAAAATCGCGTTCGCATAGCTTCAACCGCAACGAGTCTATTTCATCTTGAAGCTCCGACAAAAGTGCAATATGTTCGCAGCCTATAACACGATGAAATGAAGCACCAGTATCACAAGACAAGAGCAAGGGGTGAAAGTGAGTAGCATCAACAGGAAATGAAATAAGTGGAATAAAACGTGTAAAATGACTCAAAGGAAGACAAGTAGGATCAATAGAAAAGTAAGAGGGAGTTGAGGCATCAAAGCAGAGCAACTTAGACACGAGATCAAACAATCGCGAACGACTCCCTGAAAGGCAGGAAGAAACAGAACCAGGTAAAACCTCGCCAAAAGAAAGGAAACCAGGAATAAACAAACCATTAGACGGCACCTCAAAAACAGAAGACTGTAAGAAAATATCCCTAAGAGCAACCATATCAGAATGCGATCCAAGAAGAAAAGTGTCAAAAATGGACTTCAAATGAAGCTTCTCACATTCCAACTGCTCTATCTTCTCCAACGCTGCGGACAAACGAGTCTCCACTGCACTCAACTCTCTCGCTTCAACTCCACACAAACTAGTACCATCCAACACCGCTTCTGACGTACACACTACACCACTATACGTCACACTCGCATCCACCACTATCGGTCCCGACGATGTAGCCGACCCCATCACACCACCAGCCGACGACACCGTCACTGGAATCCAACAACCAACATCCACACTCTGCACACCTACATCATGACCACCAGCCATCACATCATCCGGTCTGTGCTCCATCTCAACAACACCGTCCCACGACCACAAATCACCCGACATGCCAGATCCATCTATCTCCACCACATCCTCCGCACGCGTTCCAACCACCGGCGAAGGCATCAACAGCCTGTCACCAGCAGCCAATTCGTCCACAACCAACAGTGACGCGCTCAGCTCTCTCTCATGCAAAATAATCACAGCGAAACCAACACGAGCACTGGCATCATCTGCAACACTCAACGCAGACGCCTTATCCTCAATAGCAAGTGCCGGTCCATCCATCGCCACACTACGCAAGCCTGTAAACAACTCAATCTCAGATATCATACCACCAGTCTCCGAGCCACGCGCGCGCTCACACGCCTCTCTCAGGTGAAGATGCTCCAATCGAAGACTAGTCAACTCAGCCTGCAACCGACATATCACATCTGCCTCCGTTTGCACACCCTTGCACACAATACCAGTCGCGGCATCCTCAGTCGCCCCGCTTTCCAACATCACCTCATATCGCCCACTCACACCTCCACCCAATGTCTCACTCTCATCAAGCAACAACAGTCTGCGCGATGCATCTTCCAACTCCGAACACTTCGCCTCCAGGTCACATTTCACACGCTCCAATTCAGACTCCAGCGCCGCACGCAACTCATCCCCTCGACATTGGGCCTGTCGCAACAGCATCAACTCACTGTCTTTCTCCGACAACAAGTAACGACTATCACGTAGCGCCGCATCCCGAGCATCCACAAGCTGCGACAACACACTTATACGCTCATCTCGAGAAACCAGCTCAGCGCGCCACCCGTCTCCATCCACCGTCAACTCATCGGAAACACCATCCACACCAATGCCACCACAAACGTCCACACTAGACACACGCAGTTCTTGCCCAAATTGTACCGGACACGGTGGCGGCGGAGGCGGAAGTTCACCTCCAACTCCAATACCCAACACATCCAAACGGCTAGAAGACACAACTGACGCAGCCACATCCATCTCCACCGACAAAGCCGACTTCGGTTCACACACGTCCGCCATGTCAGGCCCCACACCCGCGTCACGCGCTACAACACCAATAACCGTCCCATAGCTAATACTACCATCCAACACGCTGTCCTCATCCGTTTGACTGCTCACGTGTTCCACAT